CTCCAGTCCAGCTGCCACATTCCTCTTCATCGAGTCCTGCTTCTTGGATAATTTGCTCAGCACCCAGATTGACTAGGTATGGAGAGAGAATACAACCTTGACACACTCCTTTCTCACTTCTAAACCATGCAGTGCTCCCCTGCTCTGTTGCCACAGCTTCTTCCTGGTCCAGATATAGGTTCCACATGAGCACAGTCAAGTGCTCTGGGATTCCCATTCTTCTCACTGACAGCCACAACTGGTTATGATCCACACAGTCAAATGCCTTTGCATAGTCAATAAAGCACAAATAGACATTCTTTTGGTATTCGTTACTTTCAGCCAGGATCTGTCTGACATCAACAATGATATCGTTGGTGTCACAGCCTCTTCTAAATGCTCCTTGAACTTCTGGTATTGCCCTATCAATGTATTGTCCTAGCTGTTTTTGAATGATCTTCAGCAGTATTTTGCTTGCTTGTGATATTAATGATATTGTTTGATAGTTTCCAGATTGACTGCCTTTGCATAGTCAATTATACACAAGTAGACATTCTTCTGATATTCTCTCCTTTCATTCAGGATCCATGTGGCATCCACAGTGATATTCCTGGTGCTGTGGTCTCTTCTGTACGTCTCTGCTTGAACTTCTGGTGCTTCCCTGTTAATGTAGCTGTTTTTGAATGACCTTCAGTAATATGTTACTTGCATGTAATATTACTGATTTTGTTCTTTAATGGTGTTCTATAATAGTCTACATTCTGTTGAGTTACCTTTCTTGGGAATGGGAACAAATAGGGATCTCTTCCTATCAGTCAGGCAACTCCTCCAAATTTCTTGACATAGATTTGTGAGCACATTCAGGGTTGCATCTGTTGATTGGGACATGTCAGTTAGTATTCCATCAACCCCTGGGAACTTATTTTTTGCCAGTACCTTCAGTACAGCTTGGACTTCATCGTTCATTACCACTGGCTCTTGTTCATATGGTGGTTGTGTGCTGCAGAGTCAGAACTGACCCATAGCTGACCCTCCCGCAAGTTTTCGGAGGCAGTTGATCATATGGTAGATGATCTTTGTTTCGCAGAACAGCTGCTAGATTTGAACTGCATGCTTCTGGGATTGGCCATCAGAAGTCCCTGTTCATATGGTACTTCACCAAGTTTTTCCGCGTCAGCTGTTTTCTTTTTGGTGTAGTGACACTGTATACATTCTATCATCATTTGCTGCTTCATGGATCATTTCAAAATTCTGCCCACAACATCTCTGAGTGTTAACACTCAGGCTTGAATTTGTTTTTCAGTTTTTTCAGCTTGAGAAATGCTGAGTTAGGTCTTCCCTTTGTATTCTCTGTCTCCAGCTCTTTGTACATTGTTATAGTATTTCCCTATTTTACTTTGTCTTCTCTAGCTGCCCTTTGAAATCTGTTTTGCTTTTTTACTTAGACTTTTGTTTTGGCTTCTCAGTGTTCTAAATGCAATTTTCAGTCTCTTTTGAAATCCATTTTGGTTTTTCTTTATCCTGTCTTTGTAAGAACCTTTTACTTTCTTCATGGATGACATCCTTTATGCCCTCCCACATTTCCTCTGTTTTGATCATTTAATGTTCAGTGCCAAACGTCTTTTGAGATTATGCTTAAATTCAGCTGGGATAGACTCCAGGTCTAATTTTCATTCTCTTTAGCTTCAGTTTGAACTTGCACAGGAGTAATTGATGGTCAGTTCCACCGTCAGCACCTGGTCTGGTTTTGATTGCTGATACTGCACTTTTCTAACGATTCTTTCCTGTGCAGTACATCAGGTGAGGTCTACGTTTAAAGTCATCTTTGTGTCTTTTAAGAAAGATGACTTGCTATGAATAAATGTTTGAGCATACAAAATTCATTCAGGTTTTTGCCTCATTTCTGTCACCAAGTGACCACCACTGCTTTCTCTTTGTTTCCTCCTTTTCCATATTTGCTTTATTTCAGACTGTAAAAGTGGAAAGTTGGTAGAAATCGTCAATCTCCTCTTCTTTGGCTTTACTTGTTGGTGTCTGTATTTGAATAATAGTTGTGTTAGCAGGTCTTTTTTTTTTTTTGTATGTGTGATACTATGTGTCACTGACAACAGCGTACTTCAGGATAGACCTTGAAATTGTCATTTTAAGTATGAACGTGACACCATTCTTCAATTTTTCATTTCCAGCATAGTATATCATAAGATTGTCTGGTTCAGAGTAGCCTATGTCAGTCCATCTCGCTTCACTGATGCCTAGAATGTCAGTTTTCATAGATTCCATTTCATTTTTTACAACTTCTGGTTTTCCTTATTCATACTTTGTACATTATAAGTTCCCGTTATTGATGTTTGCAGCCATTTCTCTTTGTTTTTGAGTGACTTACCATCTGGCCTCTATCTCTAATACTACAGCTGCCCTTGTTGCTGTGTTACTCATAGGGTTTTTGAAGGCTTGTTGTGTCAGAAATGGATGGCCAGTCTTTCTTCCCAGCCTCTCTTAATCTAGGAGTTACCAATTGGGGAATGAAGAATGAAATGTGCCTGATTAGAGCGGTATGGATGTGAATTGTCTGTTTTAAATACGTATCTGTAAGTATTTTTGGAACAGGTACATCTCAGAGGTAGTGCCCGTGCTCCTGACTTAGTCTCCTTTTCACCCAGCAATCCTTGTTGAGCTTCACCTGTTTTCACCTGTTTGCCCTTTGAGAAGCTGGCTTATACCTGCTTGTGTGTCGGTATCAGTTTACACTTTTATTCTCGCCCGGCCACTTTTAGTTGAATTTCCTGGTCTTAACCATAGCTTGACTGTTTTTCTTCTTCAGTTTATGCTGCTTTGGAGACATTAAGCCTTTTGTTTTCCTGGAATCAGCAATGTTTAGCCATGACAAAAGTAATAACTGATGAAAGTGTTAACTGGTCACCTGTCACGTTCTGTCTTCAGAATTAACTCCTTGTTACTGGATTTATTTGGGAGTTCTTTGTACTTGTTTGCAAAAGTGTGTGACCACCATAGGGTGACATCTGACCTTCACTACCTCCCCAATAGAAAAGAGCAAAACTAGTCCCTGTGAAGTCAGACATGCCTCACCTTCTAAACTTTGTTCTATCAGTTCTAGCACATATTGTCCCTCTACTCTTCACTCGGCTGCTTACTGTTGAGGCAGTTGTGACTCATAGTAACCCTCCGTCAGGTTTCTGGAGGTATAGATTGTGATGGGAGGAGACGGCACATGTTTCTCCCTCAGAGGCGCCGGTGGATTTGAACTGCTGCCTCTGTGTTGGCAGTGCAGCTCACTCTGGGCTGTACTACCAGAGCTCCCTACTCTGGTAGGTTCGAATATCCCTTGCAATGACCATACAGAATTCACAATCATCATGACAATGAAGGACTTTATTAAGGAAGTAGTGACAGGTTACAGTTCAAGTCCAGAGGAGTCAGGATACAAATCTTTAGTCAAAAGAGCTTTGTAGGCTTGCTCTTGTTGGCCCCTGCCTCCAGTCTCTGGGCTAATGATACAAACCTCTCTTAGTAACATCTCTTAGAGTGCCTGCATTTCCCATTCATCAGTAGCTGTTGTTATGTGCTATCAAGTTGAGCGTGACCCCAGTTGCACTTTATCCAAGACCATTTTTGTTCTTTTGGCAATCTATCGGATATTCAGTCCTCCTCCTGCACAACTCAAAGGTAGCAATCATACTGCTGTGATCTGTGTTTAGATGCATTGGGAGTAATTAAAAAGACCATGACTTAGATCAGGCACATGTTAGTCTTAAACTGACAGCCTTTGCTCTTTAGCACTCTGGAAAACTCTGTGACAGCAGATTTTCCCAGTGCAACACTTCTTTTTATTTCTTGTCTGCTGGTGCTAAGTGTCTTGATTGTGCATCTAAAGCAAGATGGAATCATTGACAACCTCAGTCTTTTCTCTCAGCTATCATGATTTTACCTTTTCACCCAGTAGTAGTCATGACCCTCCAGCAGCTTTTTGGAGACTTTCCATTATCTCGTGAGACGATCACCCGTCTGTCTCCCTCATAAGCATAGGCCCCAGCTCCAGCTCCGTGCAGGGGCATTTCTGATGTGGCTCCGTCTCACCTTGATCTCTGGTTCTGAGCTACGTTGCTTCTGCTGCTCTACTCTGGGCCTTTGTCTGGCACAAGAATCTCTACCCCAGAGCATGTGCTGTGCCCTCTGTGCCTTCTTCCTTAATGGTAGCAAGCTTGCTGTTTCTTGCCTCTGACCATGATCATTCAAGCCTGACTGGACGGCAGAACCGAGCAGTGCGCTCAGTAGCAGTCTGCACACCTTGTTAGTGTGTCCCCTCCCTAAATGTGTGTCCCCTCCCTAAATGTGCCGTCCATCCCGTTAGTGTGCCGCGTGCGCTCCAGGAACTCTGCATTTATATAGCTGGCCAACTGACTGGAAGAGATCTATATTTGTTCCCATCCCAAAGAAAGGTGACCCGTCAGAGTGTGGAAACTATAGAACATAGCGTTGTTTTGTTTTAGTAGTAATAGATGTTTATAAAATTCTTTATTTGAATATATTTAATTTGGAGGATGAAAATACTTATTTAAAAGAAATGAAGTCATTTGTCCCTGAAATGATGCAAAAGGTTAATAATGCTCTCAGTGCATGAGTGAAAAAGATTGAAGTTTTGAGTCTAGCCAGAGGCCCTCAGGGGAAAGGCCTGGCAGTCCACATCTGAAAAAAATGAGCCCTAGGGAAAAGCACCCTGAGGAGCACAGTTCTGCCCTGAGACGTGTGAGGGCAGCAGGAGCTAGTGTCCCCTTGATGGTGGGTGGGTGGTTGGGCTGCATCACACGTCTCCATGGTACTTGGAAGTACAGAATATACGTAAAGGCAGTCCTACGTCCTTTAAGATCATCTCTGTGAAATGAATATATAATTTAAAGAAAAAAAGCATTAATGTGTTTACTTTTTGTCGTCTTTAATAAGTCGACAACGACTTTTCAATGTAAATTTACCCTAATTTTAAAAAAAATTTTGTTTTCTTATAGTAATCCTAAATTGGAGAGTCAGAGAGTAAATAAAAAAGTCAACAATGATGCCTCACTAAGAATTCATAATCTGTCTATATTGGTGAGACAGATAAAATTTTACTACCAGGTAAGTATGTTAACTTTTTTATCTTCCACTTTGCTAACAGTTTGTTCACATTTTAACGTTTTAGCTCCTGAGCTCTCATATTTTGTATATTTTTTCTTTTTTTTGGTATTTTTTAAAGATACATACAAAACTGGGTTATAGAAGCAAAATATTTATAAAAGTATGTTAAATTCTTGTGAAGAATCTACCACTATTGCTGTCAGTTCGGCTCCAACTGGAGTATTGACTCCAGCAGTTTGCTGTAAATCTTTGGAAGAGGAGATTGCCCATCTTTTCTCTCATGGAACAGCTGGTGGATTTTCATGTATTTCTGACCTTTTGTGCGCTATGCTCTTTTGAAGAATCTGTCATTTAACTGCAGAATTTATCTTCATCGCTTTTAAGACTTTATTTTCTTATTGTTTCCCCTCCCCTCCACATCACATACATAGCAAGTCAGTTGAAACTGAAGCCTCAGCATTTATGCTATAGTAGGCATTTGGTTTCCGCTGTCATACCGCAGTATATTTTTAAATGAAATGCAATTATATTTTTAATTTAACTGTAGTGATTTGAATTGTCCAGATGTGTCAGGGTCATGGTTTAATAATACATGAAGTCATTTATGATGCTTTATGAATGGTAAAAGCCTGTATCAGGTTGCTTTAATTTTCATTGGAAGATTGAATTAACATCAGCGCTTGAGAAGACACAGTCAGTGGCAGACGAGGAGTTGGCTGAGAAAGCAGGTGGAGAAAAGTTGTGGATGATGACTGAATATGACTCTCGGGTAGATTTGCTTATAGCAACGTGTGTTAGTAACATTAACAGGACAAATTGATAAAACAAATTGCCTTGGAAATATGTTGATATTTCCTAATTGATTCATCAGTTAAGGCTCATGATACCACAAGTACATGGTATAACTGACTCTTCTTGTTCATCTGTAAAATTTGTTAAATTGAAATCTTTTACTGGTAATTCAGGATCTGTTAAACTATAAAGCTTCTCTTATGTGATTGGATTTTAAAGTTCTTTGTTCAGGTCTTTGTCTCTATATAGAAACAATATAACGGGACAGTGATCACAAATATATATGTATTTTTTATATACATATACATTATTTTATTTATATATGTGTACATATATATTATTTTTAAAAAACACTGTCCTCACAGTTTTTCCTCATTTTACTCTGGTAAAACATGTATCTCATAAAATTTCCCATATCTTAATATACAAGTTAGCTTACCATGTTGTGCCACCATCTCCAAAAGTTTTGCATCATTCTAAGCAGAAACTCAGTACCCTCTTGTCGAAACTCCTATTCCCTTAGCTTTCTTGTTCCTGGTAGCCACTGATTTTTTATCTATGCACTTGCCTATTTTAGAGAATTCATTTAAGTAGGAGTCTCATGATCTTAAATGTATATCTTAGCCCTCATTGTTTTGCTTCCAGTGTGAGAGACTAAAAGTAAAGCTGAAATACAGATTTATTTCATCACATCTACTTCACTATTGAATATTTAACTAAAACATATTCTGTCTTGAGGCAAGTGGAAAATTAATTTATTAAATATCCAGATGACCTTTTTAGTCCTTGGAGCACTTGGTTTTAGCAGTTCTTGATGTTTAATATTTTAATAGGAAGTCTGTAATTAAATATGTACTTTTCTTTGAATATGTTGTTTCCCTAGTGATAATTTTTTTAAATGAGCTAATGTATATCCTGAAGAAAACCATTTTGGAAACTCTTCAGTGTATTATCATAAAGAATTATAAATAAAAGGTTAAAACTAATCAGCATATGGTCTCATGCTATCTGCTGGTTGTGGGAAAATGCTTCAGTGAATGTATAATTATGTAATTTTAAAAAGCACTACTAGTTAGCTTTTCATGGCATTAAAGTATTAAATGGTAATTTTTTAAAAAATGGAATACCTTCACAAACTTGTTCCTGGCTAACCAGTCATATATGAGCACACAGTTACAGCTGACTTTTATTTTAAAAAGTCAATTATTTGTAGAATCTTTCAAAGATTTGGTATTGTCCTCTGACACCCATCACTTTGTAGTTGAATTCATCCTAAGCTCTTTGTATGTAGCATGTCATTGCCAGTGCCTGTAATGGCAGGCATTGCATGTTCATCTCTTTATTCAGAGAAGAGATTGTTTAAACAGGAAATACATAATTCAAGTAATTGTAAGACATTTAGTCATGTCTGAATCATCTCATACTATGAGAATGTCCATAGAGTTTTGTAATTCTGAGTTTGACAGATGTTAAAGGATGTAAAACATCTGTAACATCTATTAGAGGGGAAAAAATAATGATCCATTGTTTCATGAGATGTTCGTAAGACAGTTTTTAATATATGCTGACATTTTCAGTTTCTCAGGAGACAAATAACAAACAAGACTAGAAGAGTACGCTTGCTTGGTCTTTTGAGGGCATTTCATCCCTTCAAATTATTAACTGACGGCCATCTGGTATTATAATTCATTTATTAAAGTTATAACATCTTCAAAACGTACAATATATTCATAATTTTATTTTTATAAATTTTTAAACTGCAGCACAGGATACCTGCAGAGAAGTACCAAAGTCTTAAGTTAGAGCTTGATAAGTCATAACAAAGTCCACATTAACCATTTAACAACTGTTGAGTATCTTTTTGCAGGAGACTTTGCAGCAGTTGATCATGATGTCATTGCCAAATGTCTTAGTTATCGGCAAGAATCCCTTTTCTGGTAAGTATTAAAACAAGTATAAAGTGATAACAATATTTGTATAATAACATTTCCTCTCCTCCCTTTATAACAGTTCCCAAGACCATGTAATTTTATGAACGTTGGGATTAATTGAAAACAAAGGACCATATCAGATCACAAAGTGGAAGATGACTACATCATTACATAACTACAAGATGACTTAGTTATGTAGCTGTCAGAGTTCCTCATTGTCTAGCTACTGAAACAATGAGAATTGTGGTCCAGCCAAGATGGCATGTTAACCTCATATACTCCCGCCTTTGTTACTCTCCTTGCAGCTCAGTGATAGTTACTGCCAAAATAATCAGAGAGCAGATATTTACGTATTGTGATAACTGGGAAATATTGAATAATGAGATAGTTCCTAAGTGAGAAACTGTTATGTGAGTGTACTAAGAGTCTGCTTGCTAGGTTTTTTATAACTCTATACTGAATGTTGGCACTGATGTTTCATTTTGTAGAGAGCTTAGAATATTAGTTACCGTTAAGGCCAGAGAGAGATTTTACATTAAGTGCAGTGTTTTTCCGTATGGTACCAAGCTGATAGATGTCTATAATGAGATTTAGAGTCTCTTTATTGTAAAATACAGAAGATAACAGTTATTTAAAAGGATACAGGATATAGCTTTGAAAAAAAGAACTTTTAAGTCATATCAGAATTACTGTCCAATAGGCTACTGTCTATCATTGTGAAATTTTTTTTAAATTTAAGATTTTCCTGATTGGTTGATTGCTTTTAATTTCTTCTAAACCATTTCTGGAGGTAAAGATGAGACACAGTTTCTTAAATCATTTAAATTATTTTCTTTAGATGTCTCTCTGCCTTTTACAGATTTAAATATGACATGCTTAAAGTTTGGATATTTGAACAGTTGGGGAAAGTAACAGTTACCTATCAGTATCCTTATAGACTGCTGAGGATAGCATATAATCTGCATTAGATTTTTTTCTTACCCCATCCACATCCTCATCCAAAAGAAGCAAAACTTAAGTCCAGATAAAAACTAAAATCAACAAAAAAGCCCAAAAACTAAAAAGTAGCTTTAGAGAGAGAGGAAGCTGTCAGATAGATGAGATGTATCTTGTGGTTTAATGAGAGACACCCAATTCCTGGAAAACATGTAATAGATAGTACCATATATGAATGAGCAATATCTTTCTCTGCCTCGGGGTCATTTTGGACTCATAGTGACACAATAGGACCAAAAATAAGTGCCCTTTAGGTTTCGTAGGTTGAAGCAGAAGTGGCATCCACTTCCTAAACAACATGCCTCTGGAAACTATGAATTTTGAGAAATGGCGATAGCTACAGAAAGGCTTCAGGCCTTTTGTTCAGAGGGTTGCTGTGAGTCATGATTAAGTCAATGGCAATCAACAACAATAATCTTTAGAGGAGCAGATTGCTGGTCTTTTCTTTGCAGAGTGACTGATAGGTTCCAGTTGTAGACCTTTCAAATAACAGCCAAATGCTCAAGTACTGCATTCTTTGTAGAGAATGGTAATGCATGTGTACTATGGACCAGTGGTGGTGGTTATGTGCTGTTGAATCATAATCAACCCATCGCTGACCCTCTGGTGGGTTTTCAGAGGCAGTTAATTGCATGAGAGGAGATTGCCCATTTTCCCACGGATCGGCTGGTCAGTTTGATCCATGTGCCTTTGGGGTTGCATCATAGATTCTTGCTACTAGGCCACCAGGCCTCCCTGTATAGCCATTAAGTATGCTTAAAATTGGCAAGTTATTGAGGGTTTATTGGGCCAGGGGTGTTAGTACTGTGTCTAGTGCTATGATTAGCTCGTTCTCTTGGAAAAGGATAAGGAGGATGATGATAAAAAGAGATAATAGCAGGAATTAAGGTGGAGTAATGAGTATGCTTGGGAAGTGTCTCAGGGTGGCTAAAAAGATGCTTGTTTCGTGGAGAGGAAGAAGAAATACCTGGAAAGAAAATTTGTTCATTATTATAGACAGGGTTGGCCTGATGGTAAAATTCTCGCCTAAAAAAGTGGTTTCTTTTTTTGCCAGCTGAATAAAAAAAACCTAAAATGAAATGCTGTTAAACAGAGCATGCACTCTCTAGTTCTGTTATAGACATTAGATTTTATCCAGCTTGTTAACATACATTTGCTTGACTAGTCTTGTTGAGCAGACACCTGAGGGTTTGATCTTTATGAACCTGTACAGTGGAAAACCTTTCATGCCTTATCGGTAGATGAATCATATAAGATCTTAGAAAGAAAGCACTAAGTTTTGACTTATGGTGTAGCACTTCTTTCTATTAGCAGTGCTTCAGATGGTAGCCTGGTAAAGCATAGTTAGGGGAGAAGACCGCTGTCCTGCATGGAGCCTGCCTATTTTACTGTTTTTGTTGCCTTTCAAAATTGAGGTCCTTGTTCACTCCCTCCGGAGCACCTCCCTACGGTGCAGGCACACTGTATATGCACATACTCATCTGCCTTTTCTAATTGTTTATTGTGTTTTTCTAGAAACATAATCCTTTAATAAATCTTTATGAATACTATCTCTAAGAGCATTGAGACAGAGCAAAATGTTGTACTTAGTAATTGGTTGTTGGGTTGTTGTTTTTTTTTTTATTTCAGAACAAGGCACAGAAGAAGTTAAAAAGCTGCTTTTACTTTTACTGGGCTGTGCGGTTCAGGTAAGTATTTCTTCATAGTTGTGTCTTCTTTAGAGAGTGAAATTGCTTTTCTCATGGTTCGGAACAGGTCACATTCTGGATTCAGAGTCTGGCTCGAAGTGTCAATTGTTCCTTGTCTCTCTTAGCTCCTTGTAGTTTTCAGCAGTCCTCATAGACGCATGTGTTCCCACTGTCTTCCTCTTCTCCGTCTCTGTGTGTGTGGCTCTGTCTGTTCTCGTCCTTTGACTGTGAACTGTGGTGTAACAGTACAGACTATCCCATGGACTGCCTGAAGAACAGACAGGTCTGTCTGGGAGGAAGTACAGCCAGGCTGCTCCTTAGAGGCAAGGATGGTGAAAGTTGGGGCTTGTTGTTTGGAGAGGGGGGCAATGTCATGCTTGGGACGGTGGAGAGGCAACAAAAGGAAGTCCCTCTGAGAGATGGATTGACACAGCGCCTGTGACAGTGGCCGAGCTTGGGAGGGTGCTGCAGGCTGGGGTTCACATCACCTCCATGGCACCTGACACCAACAATCAGTTAGATCTGTGATCCATCTCGCCCTATTATGGCCTCATTAACAAAACAAAAGAAACCCTACTTCTAATAAGGTCACATCCAGGCCAGAATTCACACATTCTTGGGTGGGGGGGAGAGGAAGAGGATTCCTAACAGTTTTATCCTTTCGTCTCCCACAATTCATTTCTTTCTCATGTTCAGAAATCTTCACCTTATTTCATCGTCCTCAGAAGTCTTCACTCATCCAGACTCTCATCTTTAGAATCACCTCCTCTGTGATTTACTGTCTTTGAAAACCTGCCTCAGGGTCACCTAATATTTGGTTCTGACTCAGTGATACCTAACAACAAGGACAAAATTTATGACCACGTATGGACAACTAAAATCCTAGAGCACAGGTAACCAGCTTTCAGAGAGCAGTGGCCAGACAGACACAGTGTAGACAGGCCAGTCTCGAAAGTGTGACAGTAATGGCAGCATGCAGTGACCAGAAAAAGTTTTCTAGTGATGTTAAATGTTACTAATTGTTAACGTTTACTTTAGAGTTACATAATCTGCAAAGGATTTTTAAGATCTATTTATTTTAAATGGTTATGGTATAAAGGAAGAGTAGGTGAATTGAGCTATATGAAGACATAGAATGGAAGGACTTTATAAATGATTATTATATAAATTTGAGTGTATCATTGGAAAGTTAAGCCGGAAAACTAAGTTGATGTTGAGAAAAGAGGTTCAGAGCTTAGGAAGTTTAAATTTTGGAGGTGAGCTGGTGAAACAGTAAGAACATGGGTTGGTAGTTAGCATACTGGTATACTAGTACAAAGAAGTATTTCAGTCTACATAAAGAGTCCAGGAAATCCCTCGAGAAAGTGTAATGTTGGAAGGAGATTAGGCTGGAGGCTTGTCAGGTGTCAGATCACGAAGGATTGGATTTACCACACTTAGAATTTAGACTTCATCCATTAGGCATTCGGGAGCCACTAGTGCTGATATTGGGAGAAAGATGGGCAGTCTTCTCTCTGAGTTACAGCCTCAGAAAGCCAGAAGAGGGTCACCAAAAAGAGTGCAAACACCAAATAAAAATCTTCTAGTCTTTACCTGTGACTGTATGAAAAGGGAAAACTCACTTGTTAGTGAAGAATCAAAATGTACTTCAAGTTCCCAATCCTTGCTTATTTTACATTTTTAAATGAACATAATTATCTTTTAATAAAACATACATTTTCATAAATGTACTTCATGTTTCCTCAAGAAGCTATTGAGGAAATAATCAGCATCTGTTATTTGTTTTGAAAAATCTGGAGTAATTGGAAAAAGTCAGCTGGTAATTGAACAGGCTGAAAGGCTAATGTTCAGTATAATATATAAAACTTAATCTGTCATTGCCATCAAATTAGAACTGACCCTCTAGCAAGTTTGCCAAGGCTGTAAATCACACAGGAGGAGCTTGCCCTCTTTATCCCTGGGAGCCGCTGAGGATTCGATCCACCGGAGCCCTCTGTGCTATATGAAGAAGTGGAAAGGAGACTTTTTTTTACATATGGGTTAATGTTAATCTTTTGTATTTGTAATCTGAAGTTAGAAATAGCTAGATAAAGTTGGCTGGTATAATACTAGACTTCAAGAAGTCAGTTGTGCACAAATTTGAAAAGGTAATTATGTTCATTTAAAAAGTAGTAAAATAAGCATTGGAAAAATTTTGGATAAAATATTAGGAAAATCTAAAAGGAAACAAGATTTAAGAATAGTAAAACTAAGATCTCTGCAACAATCTTACCTTACAGAATAACTGATTAAAATGTATACTTCATTGCACATGTCATGGTGGATGGAGAGGAGATTGACACTGTCAACAACTTCATCTTGCTTGGATCCATAATTAATACCTTTGGTACTAGCAGTCAGGAAGTGAGATGAATTGCTCTGGGAAAATCTGCAGATAGGGACTTTTCCAAATTTTGGAGTAGTGATGGCAGTTTGTGGACTAAGATGTGTCTGATTCAGGCCATAGTCTTTCTGATGACTAGCTCTGCATCCTATCCCTGGACAGTGAGTAAGGATGACAGAAAAAGAATTGATGCCTTTGAGCTGTGTTGTTGGAGAAGAGCACTGAACATTCTGTGGACGGCCAAGAGAACAAACAGATATATCTAGGAGAGGGTGCAGCCTGAATGTCCACTGGAGGCAATATGATCACGGACTTTGGCTGTGTTGCTAGGAGATGCTATTTCTTGGAGAAGGACATGATGCTGGGAAGGTTGGAGGGTCAGGAAAGAAGAGGAAGAATCTCAACCAGGTAGATTGACACAGTGACTGCTGCAATGGCTCTTGTGTGTCGGGAAATGTGAGGATGGCGCAGGATAGAACAGGGTTCAGATCTTTTGTTCATACGGTTGCTATGAGTTGTGCTCAACTTGATGGCACCTACCAAGAACATAAGCCATGGGATGACTTTGAGTATGAGGAAAACTTTTACATTATGTCCAAGGCAACACATGAGTGTATTTTCATCATTGATTGATTAAAACATTCTCCGTAGTGAAAAGTCTCCTGGGTGAGCTTAGGACCATCTTCTCGGGTTTTCAGAGATAATGTATCACTCTACACCCACTCCAGAGTGAAACAGAAGGAAAAGTTTTTGCAGTGTTTCTTGCCTGAAATTTTCTCCTGAGACTAATTTTCTCCTTTCCAAAGGCTTTACAGGAGTTTTCAGAAATACTATTTAGTTTGAATTCTGTCCAGAGTGAATAGTGCTGAAAGTAACTGTGTGTCAAGTGTGACGGGAATTAAAATTGTGATCTTTATGTGTGTCCTGAGAAATAACTCAAACAGAATTTGGATCAATTTTGACCTTACTTCTGGGGCCATAATATCTTGCTTATTTAGCAGTTATCTCTAAGACATTCTAAAAGTTAACATTTTAGAACTTGGTTACTGTTTTGGCAAATCAAACAAGACCCTAAAATGATAACTTTTCTTCTAAGTTGGGTAAAAATAGAAAACATAGTTCATCTTAAAGAGGGAATTTTTCTATGTTTCTTTCCTCTCCTTGGCTTGTTGTTGTTGTTGTTGTTATGTGCCGTCGAGTCGCCTGCGACTCATAGCGACCCTGTGTACAACAGCCCTAAACTGCGCTCTGTCCTGTGCCAATCGCACTGTCTCTGACACTCCCATCCCGATTATCCCAGTCACTGAATCAATCCACCTCATAGAGGGCCTTCCTCTCCTGCGCCGTCCCTCCATTTTGGATAAACTGTCGTCTGTGGCTTATTCCATAGTGAGTTAGGCCTCTAACTCAAGAGGCCACGTGTGTCCAGTGGTTTGAATCCCCTGACAGCTTGGCAGTGAGAAGATGTGTAACCCCTCCTTTAGTTCCAACTCAGCAACACTGAGTTTGAGTTTTGAGATTTTGATGATCTGCTTAGATGTGAATATTCTTACTGAAAGCTCTGGTTATGTTTTTCATTATTGCCCTGTTTAGTACCTTATTGCGGGTGCCCTTTCTGTTTTAGTAGAATTGTCATTTAAATAGGGCTTTTTTCTTAAGGGGGGGAGTGCCTAAAAAGTGTCCAATGAAAATATGAGGAATTTGAAGGACAATATATTGAGAATTTAGTCTCTATGTTGAAAGTGTTAAACTTTAGAGTTTAATGGAGTTCTACTTTTCCCCTCCTATTCCCCAAATAACCTTTTTTCTTATTCCTGTGTCCTGCCTTCCATTCCCTGCCTGTCCTGGTCAGTTAATCAAGCTTGTTTAGGAACCCATTGCTGGAATAAAGGTAGATATAATCTTAGTGCCCTTAATTCTTTTAAGAACTAGATATGAATGTAAATTAGACTTAATATGAAGTAGAAAAACCAATATCCTCATGATCTTTCGTTTTCACAAGAGTCTTTAATGACTGGAATTAAAATTACTGATATGTCCTTTTTTGCCATGTTGCCTTGCCCTGGAGAGGGGCAGTGTTGAGCAGCTACTACCAACATGTGGCTATTGAGATGAAACTCTTTGCTGTCACCTTGATGTCTGACTCGTCATGACCTTGCCGTACAGAGTAGAACTGCCCCATACAGTTTCTAGGCTGGAATCTGCGGTGGGCAGATCACTGCTTCTTCCCGCCACACATTCACCCACAGAGTGGCCCCTTGGGGCTGACCCCCCTGCCTTTTGGTTACCAGCTGACCTGTTTACCACTGAACCATTAGAGCTCCTAAATTTGATTAATTATGATTAAATATAATGAAAATGTCATTTTATCAGTTTTACTAGTTGTAAATCAAGTACAGTCAGGATGCTCCTTGGAGGCAAGGATGATGGAACCACCTCTCACAACCTTTGGTCATTGTCGGGAGGTTCTGGCTAGTCCATGGGGAAAAACCATCATGCTGGGAAATGCAGAGAGTCCGGAAAGGAGAGGGAGACCCACAACAGCATGGGTTGACTTGGTGACTGTACCAGTGGGCATGACAGAGACCTCGGAGATGGCACAAGAGAGGGCAAGGTTCTGATCTTGGCTTCAGAGAGTCACTCAGTACAAGTCACAGTCAACTCAATGGCACCTAGCAAAAAAAGCAGTGAGAGTTCTACGAGCTTGTGATTACTGTATTGAACAGTGCAGATAGAAAATATTTGGTCTGATTGTTCAAGTTCACTGAAAGTCTTTTCTCTCTCATTACTGTCTTTTATTGTTCAGTATTCTTTCAATATGAATTCTTTGTGAAAAGCTAACTTAGTTGTATAACATTGTCAGAATTCTTCATACCTTTCAGAATTCAAATAAAAGTGGTAATGACTAGAAACTGTAGCTACTTAAAAGGTTTAGGAAGAATTCTCATTTGATTCCTGTCTCAGCTGTGCCAAAGGTAGTGTAAGTAAAGAAACTGGCCTCAGGGGGTAGAACCAGACCTGTGAAATACTGAACTCAGCCCCCCAGGAATTCAGGCTTACTAGTCATGGGAGTTACGCATTTTCAGTAATTTAGTTTTGAGTATTCTAGTATCCTAATAGTTTGTTTTTACTAGATATAGGTCTTTCTTGCTGATAAAAGTGTGTTTAATTAGTTGGGTAAAGGAGGTAGAAATAAACATTACAATTTGATGTAACAAATGAATATAAAGACTATGAAAGGTCTTGACAATGTTCTTTAAAGATCAGAGAGCCGATTTTTTCTTGTGAATGTTGTTCTCACTGGGGCTTGAGTAATTGGCCTGGGAGCCGCAGCTCAGCAGTACAAGGCAGTGCTGACTATTTTGTATGCACTTCTCATTTGGTAGCTGCAGGAAGAGCTATTCCAGCAGTTGGATGCAGGGTAACTGCAGAGTTCTAGTGGGACACAGAGGTGGAGATGCAAGGGAAGCTGTTTAGAGAGGGAAATCGGGTTTGTATTTTGATTTTTAAATTTACCCACAGTTCTTCTCAGAAAATCATGTAGTGAGGAATTGCTGTCTTTACTCCTCTTGGTGCATGTGTATTTGTCTGTACACTTTGAAATTTCACCCCTAATAACTTTATTTTACTTCAGAAACAAATAAAATATTTAGTGTATTGCCTTATAAATATTTAACTGTGCCACAAAGTAGGTTTGTTTTGTTAAGATCGATAGGCTGAAGATGTGAGAATGAATTGTAAGCTCAAAGTAAAAATTGCTTTCTATTTTTCCCCCCCGAGAAGAAAGACGGTGTTGTTTGTGGGTAGCCAGAGGCAGGCTGAGCTTTTTGGCTGAGTTCCGAGTTCTACCACTGACTCACTGTGTTTCTTGGCAAGTTCCTTAGTCTCCCTGAAACAAGTTCTTGATTCTTTACTTTTCTATTTGTAAAGTTAGTATAATAATATTGTACTGACCTCAGATGGGTTGTGTAATGGTTTCTTGCTTTAGAACTTCTCAGCATAGTAATATTGTGCATTTTCATTGCCCTGCCTTTTAAAATACATGTTTCTAAGTTGTTATCTTTTTATTAAGTTAAGTATATTAAATTGTTTAAATGAAAAACAAAATGAAAAAATCCCTCACTGTACTGTTCATAACATAGTATTGTAACCTGATGAGGTTTAGTTATATAAACATTATAAAGACTGTACTCTCTAGGATGAATGATCATTTTGTTTGTTTGTTTTAGTGTCAGAAGAAAGAAGAATTTATTGAAAGAATTCAAGGTTTAGATTTTGATACAAAAGCAGCAGTTGCCGCACATATTCAAGAGGTAATAATAACCTGTATGTGATTTTTAAGAAATACATTTTATTAAGTTTGTGATTTCTTTCATTGTCTCCCAGAGAGTCATAAGATTAAAATTATCATGTTAGGTTTCAATATAAATGAGCCTGCTTTTGACATATTTTATTCTCTTCAGAGATAGTTTAGTGTAATCGGCTTGGTATGGCACGGTGCTAACAGCACATGTACTGTTGACTATCAGTAGGACGATAGGCAGAAAGTTTTTATTGAAGAGTAACATCACTTTGTTAGCATAGTATGAATAAAAATGGAAGCAGTGGAAAGTGGAACACTGCTTACTAAAACTTACAATGCAGTAAGATGATGAACATAGTTACTAGGCCATTCCAAAGATTTTTTTCTTTTGAATGAATGAATGCAACATAGTTTTATTGATGGTGTTAATTGAATTACACATACATTAATGATATGTACCACTCATAAAAGCATAAATCTATAGTATTTAGATAATTTAAAGTAGTATTTTTGCTAAAATTGGCTTTAAAAGATAGTATTTATCCATCTGTCATGATTTCGTTTTGTTAATAGCATGTTCTTAGAATTAGAATATGCTAAATTTTTCTTTTCTATTAAAAAGAAAGGTGGGGTTTTTTTATTATTATTAATGTGTGTGTGTGTGTGTGTATGTGTGAGTGTACCGTCAAATCAGATCTGACTGGTACAGGAGGAGATTGTCCCTCCTTCCCCGGCAGAGCATCTGGTGGATTCGAACCGTGCACCTCTGGGATTGTAGTTGCAGCTCCTTGCCACTAGGCCACCAGAGCTCCCCTTAAAAATATAGTTTTTAAGTTGTCAGAATTTGTGGTGTTTTCAGTTTACTATAATTTAGAGGTTTTTTTGATCATCCTTTCTCTTACCATTTCTTTGTAAAACCTAGCTTTCTCATCAGTAATAGCATTGTCAGAAAAAAGTAAGCATAGACCTGTTTAACCAGATATTATTTTATTGGTAATGTCTTGTGTGTGTGTGTGTGTGTGTGTGTGTGTGTGTGTGTGTGTGTGTGTGTGTGTGTGTTTAAAAGCTTCATAGTTTCAGCCACATCTTATGATGTGAAACAGGACCAGACTTGAATTTTTGCACTGAGACGAAGTACTTTGTTGTAAAAATTTGGATGATCTGGAAGGCTAACCAGAACTGGGAAAAACTGTGGGTCAAAGTTGCAGAATATGAGACTTGGAAGGTGCATTGTAAACATTTTCAGGACCTTAATCTATGACATTGGATTAATGCCATGTGGCTGGAGAGAGTGACATGGTCAGAGTGGCAATTTTGACCACCATCTTCGTGCTGGACATGGCTGTTTTTGACTCACTAGATAAGAAGTTTTGTTGTAATTCAGGGATGATACTGCCCTTGTTTTCTAAGAGCATGATGACATTTCCAGCAGGGCTTCAAACGTGTGACGTTTCTCATTTCAGTTAGCACTCCAATTTGCTCATATTTTCTAAAAAAAAAAATCACTTATCAGCTATGACAGAACTGAGCAGAAATGATGTGAAGCCCTGGTTTGTTTATGTTAGCTTTGTGGGTATGTATTGCATTTTTAATAAATGGGAAGCTTTCAAGATGAAATTACCACTCTTAGGAGGTAACTTTGCCATTTCTTATAACAGAACAAATTATAAGAATCAAATAGAAAGCAAGGAATAAGTCTAAATAGCTTTTCTGTACTTTTGGAAATCTTTAGAATAGGAGGCCTTTTCATTTCGGAAAGCGTTGAGTTAAATATTTTCTCTTTTGTTGACTGGAAATAGAATATTTCCTTTAAAATTTATATTTAATTAAAAATAAGCAATCTTTTCATCACTGAAATGTCTTTTCTGTTTCAATTTGAGTTTCATATTTTGATTATGCTCAAGCTTTTGAAATTTTAGCTTTTTTTTGTTTTGTTTTGGTAGTTTCTTATTTTTGCTTTCCTAAAGGTAACGCATAATCAAGAAAATGTGTTTGATCTGCAATGGATGGAAGTGACTGATATGTCTCAGGAAGACATGGAACCACTCTTGAAAAATATGGCATTGCATCTAAAAAGGCTGATAGATGAGAGAGATGAGCATTCAGAGGTTTGTCTCTTTCTTTCACTGTATCTGAAAACTTCCTTGTCAGAAACAGTAATCGTTTTTGAGATTGTGTTTTGAATTGATGATAGTCTCTTTCTTAGGGACAGGTATTAAAGTACTTTTTCTAAGACAGGAGCTGTGAAAATCTCAAGTTGCTGGCAAATAAATTGTAATTAATTTTTTTTCTATTCTTTTAAAATTATTTTTTAAGTATTTCTTTTTAGTCATCCCCACAGTTCTGGCCATAGTACCGAAGAGTGAAACTGAAAATAGAGTTGATGTAAGTGGAAAAATCATTGCCTTGGAGCCTAGGAATTTACATAAGGTTAATTTCTTAGTTTTACTGCCACATTTTCAGAGTGGAAAAATAATAAAAGGAGAAGAACAGGTGTTCTGAATAAAATGGCCCACAAAAGGTCTCAAATTTTTGTAATCAGTATGAGGTGTGATTTTTTTAAAAACAGAATTATTAGAAGCTCTTTTATAAGCTGCATTGCTTTTTAAAAAGTAAAATTGCACTGGAGTTTCTTTCTGCACTATGAAAGCAGTTTGTATTTTTAGAAAAGTCTAGACTTCATTGCATGTGGTGGTGAGTAATACTTTCTTAATAGCAGACCGAAGTACTCTAGCATTACGGGGAATATATAGCTTTGATCAGTTACTCCATTTACTTACAGGAGAAACTTCTGTGCTTATTTCTAAAGAATTTGGATAATTACTCTTGGGACCAATGAAAGACTATATATAGAGGAAATTCCTAAATTTTTTCCCCTCTTGTATAAAACTTCTCTGTAAAGTACTTTCACTTCTGATGGAAAATTTTAGTCATTATTTAGGCATTGAAAGAGGGGACAAAAAGGAGGACATAAATAAAAATTTTAAAGAAACAATGAAAACATAAAACGAGAGCAAGGCAGAGGATCCTCCGGGGAGAATCACGTAGTCGCGGGGCGAGCCCAGGCTTCCTTTGCTTACTCCGCTGTGGTGAGCAGCTTCCCATAGTTTTTCCAGCACAAGTTAATGGCTCCCTGCAGCATAGTAAGCTAACCTGTGTTTACCTGCTTCCTTACTGTATGCACTTGGAAGTGTATCGATTACTTCTTTTCCGTGTGTTTTTAAAAATACTATATACTGTATCATTTTATAGGTATCTTTTCACTACTGTATTCATATTTGGTAAAGCATTCTTCAATATGATAACTTGTATTTGAAGCATATTACAAAGTAGCTTCCAACTTTTTTAATCAATTAAAAAACTCTCTATTGTCATAGGCTTGGTTCTCATTGTTGAGTGTTGAGTTGATTCTGTGCACTGCACCACTCTAGGTCAGGCCTCCTTGGGATACTTGGGCCGGAATCTTCACAGGAGCGGGTCACCGGGCCTTTTCTCCTATGGAGCCATTAGGGAATTTGAACTGGGACGTTGTTGTTATATGCCGTTAAGTCAGAACCAGCTCAGCGCTCACCCTCCAGAAAGTTTTCACAGACAGTAAATTGCTCAGGAAGAGATTCCTATCTTTCTCCTGTGGACCCACTGTTGGATTCGAACCACATGCTTTTGCCTTGGTATTGCAACTCTTTACCCATTAAGTGACCAGACTTCCCTAATGTATTCTCATGTTATCATCAGTATGGTATAAAGGTGAAAGTACCATCTAGAGAAACTGTTACAGGATGGAAAAATACCTAGTACTGTACAAAGTTTGAAAAATATTCTCAAATCTATCATCCTGCCTGATTAAGAATTGTAATTGTATATGTTTTTCAAACTGTTGTTGTTGTTAGGTGCCATTGAGTTGTAGACGACTCATAGCGACCCTGTGAGTGAAAGACCTGAGCACTGTTCATAGAGTTTCCAGAAACAAGCCATTTCGGAAGTGGGTGCCTCTCCTGCTTCCAAGCTTGTTTTAATCTGGGAGCTCCACCAAATGCAGTGCACTGTGGTTAACCATTACCACATTTGATGCATCAGTGTCACAGTGTTTCACATCACAGCAACCACGAGTTACCTCTGTACAGCAATGCACAGACCAGTGCTATACCACCTAGAAGAATGGGTCACAAAAAAACAATTTTGTTTTTTCCAACTAGGAAAGGAAAAAAGCCATACTCCTATGCCTCAGATATTTGTAAACAGCTTACTGGTTCATTTGAATCTAGTTCTGTGATTTAAAAATCCACCCCTTTCCCTCAGCAATTTGGGTCACCAATAGACTAAGCAAGTAATTGTGAAAAGTACTAGACAAATGTACGAATACCGTCAGAATGTCGTAATTCTATCATTTCGTAGAATTTTCTTTTCATTTTCCCCCGTTTTGCATGATATTTTTTTTCAGTTCAGTCCATAGAATGCCATTTAGTTACTTTGTTGTTAATTTCTCTTCTGCTTTGTATTCTTAATGTTATGGTGCAACTATTTCTTCAGTCCTTTCCATATTTTAAAATCCAGATAGACACTTATAATGAATTTAATGTCACCTTGTTATTTCTGTTTTGTGTTCTTTTTTTGTGTTGTTTCTGTTTTTGTTCCTTTATTAAACATAACTGATTATCCCATGTTGTTAACGAAAATGCTCAAGCCCGGAAAACTAACGTGCTGAGTCTATAACTTGTTTTCGTCATTATGCCTCTGTTTAAATCCGTGATTACACTGAGTACATCTCTGTTTTCTTTCTTTAATGAGTTCTGTAATAAGTAGAATTAGTGAGGCCACATATATTCTCAGGAATCATGCTGTATATCTCTTTACATCTGTATTCTTCAACATGCATTAGTGTAGACTGGCTTTTCACAATATCTTGTTACATACATTATCTCACAGAAAAGTCAGAATGTTCAGATAATCTTATGGAAGATATCTCTGAATATTATTACCTCTTATTATCAGATTTCTTCATTTGTGTTTTGAAGCCCGTGGTGGTTTTATGTCCATACGTGTATGTGTACACATCCTGTTTCATAGGTGTCTGGAAGCTCCTTTTTTTATTGGCCATTGTTCCCATTTTATTGGATTACAAATAATATTACACTGAAGTTTAGTTGGCATTTTCGGTTTCCATTCAACAATTTGGAAGTTTTAATGTTTAAACTTTACCATCTGAGTTGAAATGTAGTGTCTGGCTTCTGTATTCTTTCCTCACTTTTTTTTTTAAAATTTGTTTTAAATTTTATTTTATTATTTTTGTGTGCGTGTACCACCTAATCAGATCTGACTGGTACAGGAGGAGATTGCCCCTCCTTCCCCGGCAGAACATCTGGTGGATTCGAACCGTGCACCTCTGGGATTGTAGTTGCAGCTTCTTGCCACTAGGCCACCAGAGCTCCCTCTTTCCTCACTTTTATATGGTTGAATTTTTTTTTTTATTACTTGTTTTTTTGTGCTTATTAGAGTACCGTACTAGATAAAATTAGGCCCTGAGTGGCTCAACGAGTTAAGGAGTCAAGTACTAATTTGGGTTTGAAGTCACCCAGATGCACATCACTGACCCTCGTCTGTCAGCTTGCTGTAGTCAGATGGGTCTGAGTGTTAAGGGCACATTGTTTAGTAGATTAGACCCTTACATTGGAAGGTACTCAAAATATGAATCAGCAAGAGGTACCACCTCAACGAAGAGTCTGCATGAATAATGTGGATGGAGTAAAGCTTCCAGCCTGTCAAGGACATTTATTTGCTGATGACTCAGAATGTGGGGAAACAATTGTGATTCATTGATAACTAACAAAAACTGTATGAAGTATGAATATAAGGAAAGTGGAAGTTTTAAAAAATGGGATGCGTAAAAAAAAAAATCCTAAGCATTTGTGAGGTGAAATGAACTGGTGCGGGCCATTTTTCCTCAGACAATGGTATGATTTTCTCATTGTAAGTGGGGATGACAAATTGAAGAGGAATTATGTTGCATTCATTGTCAAAAGAACATTTCACAATCTTTCCCAAAGTGCAGTGCTGTTAGTGATAGGATACTGTCCGTGTGTGTAGAGGGGAGAGCTGCTTCCCAGACTGTCATTCAGATGTATGTACTAATCATTAACGCCAATGATTAATAAATGGAGGATTTCTACCTACCTTAGACAAAGAAGCTGTGGGCCAAGCAGAACAAAGGAATGCCGCATGACCAAGAGAGGTGTGCGTCAGGGCTGTACGCTTTCTCCATGCTTGTTCATTCTGTATGCTAGCAGATCATTCAAGAAGCTGGACTTTATGAAGCAGAATGTGACCTCAGGATTGAAGGAAGTCAGTAACCTGCACTTTGCAGAGGACACAACCTTGATTACTGAAAGCAAGAAAAACTTGAAAGACTTGCTGTAGATCAAAGACTACAGTCTTCAATGTGGAGTACATCTCAACATCAAGAACACACAAATGTAACCCACTGGACCAGAAGGCAACATCATAATGGAGAAAAGATTGGCGTTGTCAGTGATTTCATCTTGTTTGGATCCCCAGTCACTGCCCTTGGTATCCTGAGACAAGAAATCTAAAGTCGTGTTGTATTGGGAAAAATCTGCTATCCGGGACCTCCCCAAGGTGCTTAGGAGCAACAGTGTCTGTTTAAAGACTCGGGTGCACCTGGATCAAGCTGTAATCTTCTCACTCACTTTGTATGCATCTGGAAGTTGAACAATGATTAAAGATGACAGAAGAAGAATTGGTGCCTTTGAAGTGTGGTGTTAAAGAAGAGGACTGAATACATCATGGACTATTAAAAGAACAAACAAGTCAGTCTCAGAAGAAGTATATCCCAGGTGTTTCCATAGAGGAAACAGTGGTGAAGCTTGGCCTCACATACTTTGGGCATGTCCTCTTAGAAAGGTGAGGAAGACTCAGCAAGATGGATTGATGTCGTGATTGTAACAGTGTGCTCAAGTGTCAGGGATGAAAAAGATGGTACAGGATAGTTCAGATCACTTGGTTATAGGGTCACTTTGAATTGTAGTTGACTCAGTGATGACACTTAACTACGACAACCTATGTTTGCAGTCCAATATGGATTAAATATGCAATCAGGATGCGTTAATAATAATTGGTGATTAGAGTGCATAGATTGAAAACAAAAAAGATTTGGTAATAGATGTGAGATCGCATTTGTCACCAGTGACTTAATTAAACAATGCCACACACTTTTAAATTGACGACCGTGCTAGGATCGATGTATTACTATTACCATCATTTGCAGCAACGTGTTAATTGCAAATACCCTTTTTTAAAAAAAACAGATGGAGATCTTTTTTTGTTTTCTCTTCACATTTTATTCTTCTTCCTTTATTTAGTTTGTCTTTTTGTTCTTCATTGCATTTCCATTCTGATTCTCTTACATTTTGTTCTCTGTCAGGTTTTTTTTCCTTTATGGTTCACTTTTTTGTTTTGGGGGAGGGGTGGGGGTTTTTTTGGTTTGTTTTTATTATTACTTTGCTGAATTGCTAGCGTTGTTTCCCCTTTTTGAAATGCCCCACTGAGTTGCAGAGAGCAACAGTGTCCAGCAGCAGTGTCCACACTGTCCAGCCGCACAAGCAACTCCTGCTGTTTCACCCGTTGTGTACAAGACTGGCCTCCTCTCCACCCAACTAGCAAAGAGTTGCAGAAAATAAAAACCAGCCTGCGTTCAGCTGCTCGACACAAGCAGTGAGCTGAGAACAGCCCACAAGCACACTCTATTCCCTCCTCTTTCACACCTGCTAGAAGACAAAGAGGAAACCCGAATTGCAGTCTCACAGCTGAGAAGTACACTTGTGCAGGTTGGACATATCAGAACAAAAGAATACAGAAGCAGGAAAGTGCCTTGTCTTGAAGCCTTTCAGAAATACCAGATTAAGATGGCACTAAGTGAATAAGGATGACAGATGAAGACTTGATGCCTTTGAGCTGTGGTGTTGGAGAAGAGCACTGAACATCCCATGGACGGCCAAGAGAACAAACCTATGTCTCGGAGAGGAGAGGATACAGCCAGAATGCTTTTTGGAGGCAAAACTGACGAGGCTTTGGCTCATATTCTTTGGGCATGTTGCTAGGAGGAGCTATTCCTTGGAGAGAGGCATGATGCTTGGAAAGGTGGAGGGTCGGCGAAGGAGAGGACAACCCTTGACCAGGTGGATTGACAGGATGACTGCCGCAGTGGGCCAAGAAGCGTGAGGATGGCACAGGCTAGGACAGGGTTCAGATCTGTTGTTCATAGGGTTGCTCTGGGTCATACTTGACTTGATGACACCTAACTAACTTTTGTCTCTTTAAGATTCTCATTCATTCCCTTTGGGGTCCTATTTACAATTCTATCCTGTTATTACTCAGTTTTGTGATAATGGGAAGATAATGTTCTAACCTAACCTGTGTAGCTGTTGAGCCCTTAAAATATGGCCAGTGAAAATAAGAAAAAGGGGTTTTAATTTTTGAATTTAAATTGCCCCTCGTGCTATCTCGTGCCGTATGAGACAGCACAGGTTTCAGACTGACTAGTCTTTATTTAAGTCCTATTGGATCATTTTCTTCTTTTGTCAACAGATTTCTTAAAACTTTACAACATTTGCTATCAACAGCAGTTGTTTTTTTAAAAGAAGAAGAACAAGAAAAAACTTTCAGTCTTGTGTCAGTTTTACTTTATTTACTAAACTCATCCATGAACTATTGAATAAAAAATTTCTTAATGGTAATTAAATAGGACAAAGATACTTTTGATCAGTAAATTGTTGTTAATATCTTCCAGTTCTAGACCCAGTAGGTAATACTGCTTTGTTTGGTCCTCTGAAATGTAGAATGCTAAGAGTGATGGTGTTTATTTCTGTAATTCCTTAGACCATAATCGAGCTCTCTGAAGAGCGGGATGGTCTCCATTTCCTCCCCCACGCCTCTTCATCTGCACAGTCGCCCTGTGGCTCTCCAGGCATGAAGCGGACAGAGAGTCGACAGCATCTGTCAGTGGAACTGGCAGATGCTAAGGCCAAGATAAGAAGGCTTAGACAGGAACTGTAAGTTGCTGGTTTTCAAGATTCATTGAATTAATGTAGTCATGAAGATTATCTCAGTAGTTTTGGGTTTATAGAAAATAGGTTTCCTATTCACTAGCTGTGCAAAGTTTTCACCAGTATTTGTCAGCATGAGAAAAATGAGATGACCTGAGGTTTTCCTAGTGCTAAACCTTTTTTCTTTAAAGGATGCTCTTTGGTTTTCCTTCCTGTCTTGGTAGTTTCAAAAGAACCTTTATAAAATAGCATCCTTTCCTGGAAAATAGTGCTTTACTGAAGTCTTTCTGTTCATATTCCTGTAAGTCAGAAATTTTGGAGACCACCAATATAAAATTATTCTTATAAAAATGCAATTATTAGCATATAATATTTTAAAAATTTCATTTTTACCATTATAGTATCTGTATTGATTAATTAAAATGCCTGAATAATGTACTTGGTAAAAGTAAATATTCCTATTTAATTTATACTGATAAAGGTACATTTATTTGTCAGAAATCATTACTGAAAAATCAATATACGTGTGTCACATAGGCATTCCTTGGGTAAATGCCTTTTTTTATTTTGTGTTTTAAAAAGAACAAAGGATATTTTTGGGGGAGGGATTGTTCTTTAGGTATTTGAGCATCAGAGTGTCAGTTTTAAACTTAAAGCCACAATGTATGGATTCCATTTATTTACTCATTATTTAAAGTACTTTGAAAGTAGATGAGACCACAAGGCAGAGAAAATATTATAGTCTACGGGAAAATTTGAAAACAAAAAGACACAGCTTTCATTTGTGGATGTCTGCATTTTTATGTATCTATTGAAGTGAACACGCCCAGGATATTCTATAAACAGCTGCACCAAGAAAATTAGGAAAGAGATTGCTGTTATTAGTTTGACTGGCAGTTAATGGATGGCCTGAACAGTGCACACTAGTTCGTTCCATATAATTTAGCACAATCTTCTCTAGACTTTAGATAAAGCATGCAATTAGAACTGCAGTGATGGCCGTGAATTCACTTAACATTTTGCACTATGTTAGAATTTATTTTCTAAATGAAATTTACTTGTTTCTGGATGTATTAAAATTTCAAACAACTTCGATTAATAATATTTGGTTCTGTACATGCTGATTGGAAAATTTAAATGAATTGGGTATATTAAGTGAGAAAACAAAATGCCAGATAGAAAATATTGCTGGTGACTACAGTGTCCTGAGACACCACGTGGTATCTTTGTTGTCCTTTGAAAATGTATTCCTTCATGGATTTCTTCCGTTAGTGCTTGCTTTAAGCTCTGTCTTATTAAGAAAGATTTTTCACTAAAGTGAGTGAAGTATGGAGATTATGGTAGAGAAATAGTCCTTGTGGCTTTATATATGATGAAAATTACAAATAATTATAATGAAAATATGCATATTAACTAGTAGCATTTATGAGTGATGTATCAAAATGTAGTTGAATTTGATAAACATCCTTAGTGAAAGTGTGATTTGCTGTGTTAGAAGTGAGAGCTTTATAACTCCTTTGCTCAGTAGTAGTTCACACAATCAAACCACCAACTCTTACTAAGTTGACTCCAGGTCATGGCAACATAGCCTGTGTGTCAGAAATTTAATATACAGAGTTTTCAATGGCTTTTTTAAGAGGTGGGTCACTAGGCCTTTATTCCTATAACTTTAACTATACTCAGACTTCTAAACTTCTGGTTACCAGCCAAACATGTGACCCATTTGTATTACCCAATGGAGACAATTAGGTTTATAGCCTTATTTCCATTTTTCAATTTCTGGGTTTCCTCTACCACTACAGGAGAACAGAGATTGATGCTCCTTGAATTGTCACTCACAAGCTTTTAAGGTTCTGGGCGCTAAGTAGAGTAGGAGATAGAATTGTTACTAGCTGTTGTTATGTACATTCAAGTCAGAATCAACTCATAGCTTAACCCTTCAGAAGGTTTGAGGAGACAGTAAATCGCAGGAGAGGAGACTCCCCATCTTTCTCCCATGGAGCAGCTGGTGGATTCGAACCACATGTCTTTGAATTGGCAGTGCAACTCCTTTACCACTAAGCCACCATTGTTGTTGTTGATTGCTTTCAAGCCAAAGATGACTCCTAGTGACCATATGGACAAAAGGCCTGAAGCCCCTCTACAAGTATCAACATTTATCAAAGTTCATAGAGTATCCGGAGGCATGTTGTTTAGGAAGTGGATGCCATTCCTGCTTCCAATAGAGACTCTAAAAACCATTTCAAGCCAAATGACAGGACACACCCACAAAATCAGGAGACTTTAGACTAAGAGAACTCATTCCACTCAGTTTTTGCCTTCTTTTTCGCTTCTGCTGTCGTAAAATTGTATGTAGCATTTTCCTTGCCATTTCATCTTTTTTCTGCTGTACTCTGTGATACCGGTTACATTTGTCATGTTATAGAACCATGGTTTAAAATCAGGAAAGGTTTCTATCAGGGTTGTAGTCAATCTGTATGCTGAGCAAAATTGTTCCTAAAGCTGGATTTTATGAAGAAAAATGTGACATTAAGATTGGAGAAAGACAACCTGTGTTACACAGATTACACAATCTTACTTGCTGAAAGTGAGGAGGACTTGAAGTGCTTGCTGCAGAAGATTAAAGACTACAGTCTTCACTATGGTTTGCATTTCAAAATAAAGCCAGAAATCCTACCACCAGACTGATAGGCAACAGTGATTGATGGAAGAAAGATTGAAATTGTCAATGCTTTCATCTAACTAGGATCCACAATCACCACCCATGCTACCAGCAGTCAGGAAATCAAGAGACATACTGCATTGGGAAAGGCTGCAGTCAGGGATCTCTTCAACGTACTGAGGAGCCATGATGCCACTTTGAAGACAGGAGCCCCTGATTCAGGTCTTTTCTGCTGTGCTGTTAAGAGCTGGGCCTTGAATAACGATGACAGAAGAATCATTGATACCTTTGAGTTGTGGTGTTGAAGAAGAATGCTGAATATCCCATGGACTGCCAGAAGAACAGACAGATGTAGTTGGAGAAAGTGCAGTCAGAATGCCTCTTGAAGGCAAAGATGGCAAACCTTCATCTCATTTACTTTGGGCATGTTTCAGGAGAAGATACTCTTTGGAGAGAGAAATGCTGCTTGGAAAGCTGGAGGGTCAGTGAAGGAGAGTAGAAGACCTTCAGCCAGATGGATTGACAAAATGACTGTAGCAGGGGCTCAGGTGTGTCAGAGATGATGAGGATGGCACAGGGTTCAGATCTGTTCATAGTGTCACTGTGAGTAGTACTCAACTCGATAGCATTTAACAGTTCTTCTGTCATCCTTACTCATTGTCCAGTATAAGGGATTGTTGTTATTGTTATGTGCCGTCGAGTCGTTTCCGACTCATAGCGACCCTATGCACAACAGCCCTAAACCCTGCTCTATCCTGCGCCAACCGCACCGCCTCTGACACACCCATCTCTATTACCCCAGTCACCGAATCAATCCATCTCATAGAGGGTCTTCCCCTCCTGCGCTGTCCCTCCACCCTCCCAAGCATGATGTCCCTCTCCAAGGACCCGTCCCTCCTGGCAACATGTCCAAAGTATGTCAGATGAAGCCCCAGAATCCTTGCCTCCAAGGTTTAATCCTCTCCAAGACAAATCCATTTGTTTTCCTGGCAGTCCAGGGTACATTCAGTACCCTTCTCCAGCACCACAGCTCAAAAGCATCCACTCTCCTTCTGTCCTCCCTAGTCATTGTCCAACTCTCTGATGCATAACAAGCGATTGCAAAGACCATGGCCTGTATCAGGCGCACCTTAGTCTCCAGAGAGACACTGTTGCTCCTGAGTACTTTAGAGAGGTCCCTAACAGCAGACTTTCCCATCGCGATATGCTTTTTGATTTCCTGACTGCTGGTGCCAAGAGTGTTGACTGTGGAGCCGAGCAAACTGAAGCTGTGAACAATCTCAATCTCTTCGTCATCCATCCTGACGCTGCTAATTGGTCCAGTGGTGAGAATCTTTGTCTTCTTGACATTGAGCCTCAGTCCATACTGAAGGCTGCAGTCCTTGACCCTTCGCAGCAAGTGCATGAGGTCCTCCTCAGTTTCAGCAAGCAGGGTTGTGTCATCTGCATAACGGAGATTGTTAATAGACCTTCCACCAATCCTCATGCCACAATTCTCCTCATAGAGCCCAGCCTCTCGGATAATCTGCTCTGCATACATGTTGAAAAGGTATGGAGACAGGATGCATCCCTGGCGTACACCCTTCCCAATTTTGAACCATGCAGTGTTACATGCAGAAATCTGGAGTATAAGGGATAGATGGGCAAAAAAAGATTGTCATTTTTAATATTTACAAAGAATTAGCTTTTGGTTTTGTGGATTTCCACTGTTCTCGAAGAGTATTTAAATTCTTGCTTTTATCTTTATTATTTACTTTCTTTTTGTAGTTCTGAGGTAGTATACTCTTATTCTCCTACCCTTCCTCTCCCAACTAGTGCTTCAAGTTGTGGAGTTAAATTGACTCTGCTCTTTTACAATATTCATTACTATAAATTTCCCCTGATGACTGCTTTTTACTCTGTCCTGTGATTTTTGTTATGTTCTTGTTTTAGATTGAGTTCTCTAAAGCAGCAAAGACTCTGAACCTTTTACACATATGCACATACAGAGAGGAAGATTTATCTCAAGGAGAAATGGTGCACACACTTGTAGAGTCTGAGGATCAGAGATCAGGCGGGGAGGCTTCTCCTAGCTTTCCTTACTTCAGGGACAAATGAGCTGAGATCTGTAGGTCCGACAAGAGGCTTCCAGCACAGATGAAGCTGAGATAGTCCATGGGCTCAGGTCCAAATAAATGGAAGTCAGATGGTGACAAGTAATATTCAAGAGCCAGAGATCAAATGCAAAGCAAGAGATCTTTGCCAGACGTTCATGTATATTTGATGCTGGCCACACACTCCCAATGCAACTCCCTACCACTGATGGACTGCTCGGAGCTGATTGCAGTATAGAAGTGATTTCATTATATCAGGTCTCATCTGGAAAAGATTCCATTCTTTTAGATTTCATAAAAAGAGAGATTATATCCAATTTCATAGAGGGAATGACTGCATCATAGTTCTGAAACCATAGAATTCTAGCCAGGTTGCCACACAGCATGAAGCATCAGAGTGTGCTTTCATTTTGGTTTTAACTCCAGATTTTCTTTTTTTTTTTTTTTTGTTTCCATGCATTCATAAGTTTTCCACTTTCCCCCTAATATTACTGATTTCTTGTAGTCAGAGAAGACACTTGGTGTCACTTCAATCTTTTTAAACTCATTTGATGACCTAGAATATCGTCTGTCCTCAGGAATATCCCCTGAGTTGTAGAGAAGAATGTGTGTATATCTGATATTGATTGGAGAGTTCTGTATCTGTTATTTCTAATTTGTTGATGGTATTTTTCAGCTCTTCCATTTCCTTACTGATTTTAATTTCTGGAGGTTTAATCTCGTGTTGGCAGTTTTCTGCTGTTGTTGTATACCGCTAAATTGAAACCGATTCTTAGCTGACCATCCGGTGGGTTTGCTAAGGCCGTAAATCACACAGGAAGAGATTGCCCATTTTTCTCCCACAGAGAAACTGGTGGATTGGAATTGCATGCCTTGGGGTTGGCAGCACAACTCCTTACAGCTAAGCCACTAAAGTTCCCTCCTCCTTCCTCCTATTATTATTGAGCTGTATGTTGTGCTTTTAAAGGACTCTTGATGGTTTAATCTACAAGGTGGAGCGCTGCTTACCAGAAAGCGGTGATCACCTGCTGGCCTAGCTGCTCTGAGAACAAAGAGGAGCGATGTGCTCCCATTACAATTTACAGCCTCAGAAACCTGATGGAGGTTTTCCGCAAGTACTACTGGACTTTTTATTGCTGACGGTGTTTCCCAATATATTTTTGTACTTGACTATTTATAGTTTTTATTTTTTAATCAGTTTGCTTTTTATCAGTATATCATGTGGAATAGGTGATGTATTCCTTTAATATCTTTTGGCTCAAAATGTATTTTTACTGATATATTTTCAAAATGTAAGATGACCACTCTCACATGTAAGGCTTTTGTGTAAAGACATGTTTTTATTTCTGTATATAAGAAAGAAATTACTGGATCATATGACAGTTGTGTTTAACCTTTTAAGGAATTCCATTTTTGTTTTCCAAAGTTATTTGCCAACATTATGGGAGAGTTTCAGTTTTTCAGCAACACACATTATTCATATAATTGCCCATCTTTTTCATTACAGCCATCTCAGTGAATGTGAAATGATAACTCATATGGTTTTGATTTGTACTTTTCTGATGACTAATGGTGTTGAGTATCTTTTCATTTACATATTGGCTATTTGTGTACTTTATTTGGGAAAAAAGTCTAAACAAGTCCTTTGTCCATTTTAAAATCACATTCTTTGTCTTTTATTTACTGTTGCTTTAGATAGATCAGAAGTAAAGGGAAATTGCTGCCAGGATAAAAGTTTGTATAAGCTAGAGTTAAGTCTCAAAAGCTCTGCTTTGAGAGAGGGTGTCAGAAAAGGTTTCATAGCAGTAAGAATATTTCAGCTGCTGTTAGAAACGAATTGGTTCAAAACTCTCAGTTTGGTATTCCAAGTGGAAGGAGAAGTAGGTACAAAACCATAGAAAGTTCATTCGAGCTAGAAGGTGCCCAGCTAAGAGTGAAGCCAACAGTGAGGAACTGTAGATATATGGGAGGTCAGGTGTGTAAGACTAAGAAGTTTAGATTTTAAATAGGGAAAACCAATTGAATTTTTTTTCTGCATGGGAGAATAAAATGGATTTATGTTTTAATAATGAAATACCAGCCTTTGGCCAATAAATAATGTTGGAGGAAATAAAGAATTCTCATGGCCATGTGAAGGGGATTGTGGATAGACCAGATAAGAAATGGATGTGGTCATAGGAAGCTCTAGTGACCTAGTGGCCAGAAGCTGCGCTGCAATCCTGAAAGTATGTGGTTCAAATCTACCAGATGCTCTACTGGAGAAAATTGGGCGATCTCCTGTGCTAGTCGGATCCAACTCGATGGTACACAACAAGAATAAAAAAACCAAAAACAGAAAAGAAAAACAAAAGAGACATGGGTGAGAGGTCTTGAATTAAGGGTGGAAAGGAAGTGAGGAAAATTGGGAATGATTAAGTATAATTTCTAGCTTCTCTCATTACTGTCTTTGTGAATGGTGATGCCATTCACTTAATGGGAACTAGCAAAGAGGAATAACATTAAAGTGAAAAATAGTTTTAGTTTTGGACATACTTAGTTTGTGGTACCTTAGAAACACCTGATCCAAGTTGGAAAGTAGGAATTTGGGATGACCAGCATTAAGTGACTGTCATTACTGTGTCAAATAGATCCTGTGTTTTATTGATTATGCAAACATACTCAGTTGTAGATCACAGCTAACTATGGTTAATATTGAGGAGAATGGTAATCCCAGAACACTTAATTGTGTTCATGTGAAACCTATACCCAGGACAAGAAGCTGTTGTCCAAACAGAAAAAGGGAACACTGTATGGTTTAAAATATAGAAGAGTGTGTCAGGGTTGTATCCTTTCTCCATACCTACTCAATCTATGTTGTTTTTATGTGCCATCGGGTCACTTGCACCTCATAGCAACCCTAAACTCTGCTCTGTCCTGTGCCAACCAATCACATTGTCTCCGATATACCCATCCAAATTACCCCAGTCACTGAATCAGTCCACCTCATAGAGGGCCTTCCCCTCCTGCGCTGTCCCTATGAAACCAGACTCTCATGAAGAAGAAGAATGTGGCATCAGGATCAGAAAGACTCATCAGCTACTTGTGTATGCAGGTGACAAAACCTTGCTTGCTAAAATTGAGGAGGACCTGAAATGTGTGCTACAGACGATCAGATGTTACGGCCGTCAGTATGGATTGCCTCTCTACATCAAGAAAACAAAGGTTCTTACCACTGAACCAGTAGGCAACATCATAATAAAGGGTTGAAACTGCCCATAATTTCTTTTCATTTGGTTCCACTTTCAACACCTTTGGTACTAGCAGTCTGTAGACATAAAGCTTTGGACACCGCTGTCAGGGACCTCTCCAAAATATAGAATAGCATTGATACCAGTTTGAAGATAGAATTTCATGTTATAGTTTCTTTATCATATCACATGTGTGCTGCACCAATACAATTTTTTTTATGTATTACATCATTATGACTTATTTGAAATTTTTCTTGATACTTAAGAAATCCCCTACTTAATTATGAGTTGCCGTTTCTTTGGGATAGCACAGGGATGCAGTGCTAATCATCTACAGGGTGTTTCTATTTCTGATATTATGAATGAGTTGTACTTGAGCTGTTGCAAAAGATTATGAAAGTAAGTCTCTGATTTGAAAATACACGTGTCTGTGTATGACTAAAACTTTGTTCAACGAGGTACTTAGTAATGATAGTGCACTTATGTTAAACCAGTTGATCAGTTTTGAAAAGTGAAAAGCATATTATGTAACTACATTCTTGTATTTAAGGGAGGAAAAGACTGAACAGTTGCTGGATTGTAAACAAGAACTTGAACAAATGGAAATTGAACTGAAAAGGCTACAGCAAGAGGTTTGTACCTGGAACTTCTACTATGTAGGACCAACCAAGTAAATAGAAAGGCCTTCCCCCCCCCCTTGTAACTCCTAACCTGTAGTTTAATAGCTTATATAGCAAGTGCAGTTACTGAAGTGTGAAGAGATTGACGACTTTTTTAGCATCTCTTTAAAACGAATGGAGCCAACACTAGAAATCATGGTCTCTGGACTTTTCAAGGGAGCTGTAGTGGCCTTGTCTGTCAAATATTGTGCTGCTCAGTGTGGTCTTTGGACTTTTCCTTTTCTCCCTGTCATTGCTATTCTGACTTTTTTTTAAAAAAAAAAAATTCTTATTTTACTAATTTTTTTGGGTGTACCATCAAATCAGATCTGACTGGTGCAGGAAGAAATTGTCTCTCCTTCTCCAGCAGAGCATCTGGTGGATTTGAACCATGAACCTCTGGGATTACATTGCTGCTTCTTGCCACTAGGCCACCAGAGCTCCCACTCTTCTAACTTTTTTGCTAAACATTGTCCAGTAACTTTCAACTCCCGGAGACTCTGTGTGCCAGGGTGGAATGCTGCCCCCTAGTGTTTCCTGGGCTGTGGCCTGGAGCAGAGCCAATCACTGGGGCTTTTGCTGCACACCAGCTTGGTAAATGTGAACCACTCATCTTTTGGTTTGCAGCTCAGTGCTAAACCGTTGCAACATCAAGGTTCCTTGTGGAACCTTCCCCAAGAGTCACAGGAATCTTCAGGCTCAGAATATTCGAGTTCCACATTTTTATGTGTATTTTCCTTCTAAACTCTATAAAGCTGGGGTGTTTTTCTTGTCATCAGTGCTGAATATATGTATCGCTTTGGATCTCTGCTGATGAAGATTTATTTACATGAAAACTTTGTCACATTTTCTGTTGAATAACATAAAAAAATTTAAAAATCATAGTTCTTTTTACTTTATATTTTCTTCATGTTGGAAAAAAATTGAGTCTTGTTAGTGATTTTTTTAGTGTTTTCATTTGGGGATTTGGTGTGAGGTCTTCTTTAAGACTATGTAGTAAAGCTTAGGGTAAGATTTCCCATTTGCTTCTTCACTTTATTTTCGCTAGCCTTCCATTTTTCAATGTAAGTGACATGCTTCCATAAACCTGACAAATTCATAGAAAGTGAGACTTAAAGTCTTTAGACTTAGAGTCTATTTCAAGATATGTTGCTGTTCTTGATGGCAGTTTGTGTATGTGTATTTCTTTTAAAGCAGTAGTTCTCAAAATTTTAGTCTCAAAAGCCTGTTTAACTCTTAAAAAAGAATTTCTTCTGTAGATTATATGTTTTGGTATTTACTATATTAAGAATTAAACTTAAGAATTTGAAAAAATAATTTACTAATTTTAAAAGTTATCCTCACCTCATTTCACATTAACATGAAAACATCTTTACTAATCATTCTTTTTTAAAAAATTAGAAAAGTGGCACTGCTTTACATTTTGTAGATTTCTTTAAGGCCTGTCTTAATCAGGGAACTATTATGTGTTTTACATTCAGTCTGTTATATGCATGATAATCTCTGGAAAATTCCACTGGCTAAATGGTGCCATAGTATTATTCTTAAAATCATTTGGACATCATTAACTCCCTGAATGGGCTTCCTGGACCCTCTGGGCCACACTTGGTTATTCTGAAAGGATGAAAGCAAGGCCTTTGAAAGTTTGGATTTCCATATATGCCCCAATTAAGAAATGTGATAGTCATTTTACTTGAAAATATTTAAATATCTCAGCAAAATATTTCTATATTATAGTATAGAATTGATAGAATATCATTAGATAATTTTCCTGAGCATTTTTTTGCATTTCTGATAGAGCCAATTTTATAAAAAATTATCTGAATATGAAAAAATTAAAAAATTTATCTATGTATGTGCTTAAAATACTTGTCTTATTTTTAATAAAAGGCTTTGTAACTCAAGAAAATACTTGCTAAAAATTATGATTAGAATTATATAGATAAAAAAATTTGCCATTTTAATTTTTTTTTAATGTGTAATTCAGTGACAGGTTTAAGGTCAAGTTCAGTGTCCTACAAGCAGTGCTTGCATCTTTTTCCTCTTTTCTTCCATCCTTGCTTACCACTACTAGGCATTGAGGGACTAGATCTTTGTCTTTTGTGAACATTTCCTGTAAGTGGTTTCAGACAGTATTTTCTCTTTAAGGAACTGATATATTTTACTCTATCTCCTTGTTTTTAAAACAGTTTACTAATAGAGAATGAACACTGCACTGATATAGTGAAAGGTAGGAATCTGAAAAGAATAGATGATTAGACAATTAACAATCTGGGATAAGACATACATTACAGAGTGTATCGGGGCACGGGAGGGAGGAAAATGTGTGTCAATGAATGAATGCTAACTGAACCTGTCTGTAAACTTTCACTTTAAAATCACAGTTTTTTTAAATAAAAGGCTTTTGAGGTGAATTTTTAAAGTAAATATATAGCTTTGCAGCCAGTGGATATAAATTTGAAGATAGAAATACATTAACTTTTTATCCTTATTTATCCAGAACATGAATTTGCTTTCGGATGCTCGTTCTGCTAGAATGTACCGAGATGAATTAGATGCACTTCGAGAGAAAGCAATCAGAGTTGACAAGCTTGAAAGTGAAGTCAGCAGATACAAAGAGAGGTTACATGATATTGAATTTTATAAGGCAAGAGTTGAGGTATGTTGCATGATTTAAACAATCATAATGTTGTTTTGAAGTATTCTTTTCAAAATTCATTAAAAATGTGTTTCGTGTTGAAATGTTGAGCCAAGAGTAAATACCTTGGAGCATTGATTTCATGCGGTATGAATGTCTTTGTTATCTCATATTTCTGCAATACATATAACTCAAGTAGACGTCTTTAATAAGCAGATTTATTTTCTTAACCATTTATGATCCTAGAAATTCGAATTTAGGGCATTGGTTCCAAGAATGCTCTTGGTGTCACGTTGGTGAAACTTAACACTAATTACAACCTCAATAACCTAACAAAGAAATCATGTTCCTTTAGGGTTCACAGCCACATGTATGTTTTTCTTATGTGCTGTTGAGTCAGTTCTGACTTATAATGACTCTGTAGTCCTGATAGTGGTGGTGTTTGTGTACTGTTGAGTCTGGACCAACCCATAGGTGACCCTGCAGTTTGTTTACAGAAGGTATAAATCACAAGGGCAGAGGTTTTTCCTATGAGCAGCTGTGGGATTTGAACCACATGTCTTTGGATTAGAAGCACAACTACTTACCATTAAACTGTCAGTGCTCCTCTGGTGACCCTGTAAACAAGAGGGTAACTGCCCTGTAAGATTGCCTCCTGTGCTCTTCAGAGGAGCTAATGGCCAGTTCTTTTATAATGCAGAGTCACTGGGTGGGTTAGAACCATTGATATTTCAGTTAGCAACCAAGTGTTTAACTATTGTACTACCCGGACCATTCCACATGTATGTTATTCTATTCTGTACCCTGGAGGGTCAGCTGTGAGTTGGATACAACTCTTAACGTAGGTACTGCTTTTTCTGCTTGCACTGTTGCTTAAAATGTTGATGATTAATGAAATCAAGAAAACACCAATCATTCTTCTGTTACTCAGAATCTTAAGGACATTTTAATGTTTTCTTTTATAATACTCAATTTGCATATCCTGGATCTTTAAAAAAGGAACATATTTGTAATGAATATAACTTTGAAATAATTCTAGGAATTAAAAGAAGACAATCAAGTGTTATTAGAAACAAAAACCATGTTGGAAGACCAACTAGAAGGAACTCGAGCTCGTTCTGATAAATTACATGAATTGGAGAAGGAAAATTTACAACTCAAGGCTAAACTTCATGATATGGAAATGGTAAGTATTATGACATAGATAGGGTGCACAGTCTTTCAGGAAAATTTCTGTTTTCTCCATAATTGCCATGATGGTTATATCTTCGAGGCCCTAACAGAGAAAAGATAGCTAAATATGTTAGCTTCCAGCTTTATATAAATATACCAGTAATAGAAAAATTTCTTTTATTTTAGATCAGGGTTTCTTATTAATTTTGTCATCTTCTATTGGAAAAAAACCGATAAGCTATTTGTATAAACATACCTTAAAGAATATAGAAATAAGCCTATTTCCCAAAAAGTGGATCAAAATTCCTTATGTCACCAAATAACTGTTGACTATGAAGGGAAGTTTTTACAGTGTCACTAAAGGTCACCAGATACCTAATGATCGGTAGTAATAGTTACAGTAACTAATTCCATATATTGCATTCAAACTGTGAAAACTTTTAAGGGACTCAAACTTTATTCTAATACTAGTTTTCTGATAAATGAAAGTTCTAAGTAATAAAATATTAGCTTGACATTATTTGTACCATGTCTTAACTTAGTTTTCGTTGTCTATCTTACATTCATGCCAATAAAAAAGGAACGTGATATGGATAGGAAAAAAATTGAAGAACTAATGGAAGAAAATATGACTTTGGAAATGGCACAAAAGCAGAGCATGGATGAATCATTGCATCTTGGCTGGGAGCTAGAACAGATATCCAGAACCAGTGAACTTTCGGAAGGTATTCCAGATGCTGTTCTGCTTAAATGGATAACTGAATAAATTAAGTTGTATTTGTGTTTAGGTTCCCAGATTTTATTCTTTATTTTCCCCAGCTGGAACTACCTCAGAAGACCAGATGCCTCCGTAGACAGGTTTTCCCCAGACAAGCATATTGTTATCACTTTCTTAGATCTCATCTCCAGCTTTACTTGTCTTATAAATAAATTTTATGAGTGTAATAATAGATTGGCTTAGTTATTTGGCCATTATTTCATGGTAATCTCACAAGGGACTAGAATGACAACTTATTTTGTTTTGAGACGGTTAGCTATCTACTAAATAAAACAGAAAATCTTATTAGGCAATGATCCTGCTCTTTGACTATAGGCAAACCTAAGTAGGAAGCCAAAACACAGTGGAAATATTCTTGAGTACATGTGTTGTTAGAATAAAAGAAATAAAGGTACTTTATGAACAATTTCATCAATCCTTGGAGAAGGTCCCTAAGAGCAGATTTTCCCAGTGCAGTTCATATTTTGATTTCCTGACTACTGGTGCCAAAAGTTGATTGTGGAATGAGCACACTGAAGTTATTAACAATTTCAGTCTCTTCTCCATCTATCATAATGCTGCCAGCTGAACTAGTGATGAGAATCTTTGTTTTCTTGATTCTGAGCTACAATTCATATTGAAAACTATGGTTCTTGACCTGCAGCAGTTGCGTCAGGTCCTCCTCTCTGAGGAGATTTGAATCTTGCTTAATGTGCCATTGAATCGCCTGCAACCCATAGTGACCCTGTGTACGGCAGCTCTGAAGCCTATGCTGTCCTGAGCTAGTCTCACTGATTCCAACACACCTAACCCCATTTCCCCAGTTCCTGTATCATTCCATCTCATCTGGGGTCTTCCTCTCCTGAACCATCTCTTCACCCTTCCGAGCATGATGTCCTCCAAGGACTGGTCCCTCCTGGCCACATGCTCAAAGCACATGAGATAGAGCTTCAAAATCCTAGTCTTCAAAGAGAAACTAGTCCTGAAATAATTATGTTTCACTTATTGACATTGAGAGCATCATTAACAGAAGTCAGAATGAATATTTTGTGTTGAAGAAATATAATAGTGAAATCTACATAGATAATTCCTCCTCCTGGCGACATAGGGCACATGTTGCTCTTTGCACTCTGGTATGGATTCTTCATTTGTATGTAGTCTTGAACATGACTGGTTTGTACCAGGGTACCTTTCTTGGTCCAACTAGAATTTTTTCCCCCCTCAGACTACCTCTCTAATATGTTTAAGTGTAGCATTCCACCTGCTTTCAACTTCTTTCTTGGTTTCCACAATGACCTTGTCAGATACACAGGACTCTAACTAGTGATTTTAGTGACCTGGGCTTCATTGAGGTGAAAGTGGGTAAGGTACACTAACAAGTTAACTTTTCATGGAGCCAGAACTGGAACTCAAGTCTCTTCAGTTTAAATTTTGAGCTTTAAACCAGATGAGCCCATTAAAGTTTTAGATTTAACTCATTTTTTACTTGTCTTTTTTTTTATTGTGTGTATCTCATATAACATTATTGATATAAATTAACATGATTGATATAAGGACTAAATGACAGAGGTATATTTATGTATAATGTTTTAAGTAGTAAACTGTGTACAACATTTTACTCCTGGTGTATTTTTCAATGTCATAGCACCACAGAAATCCTTGGGCCATGAAGTAAATGAGTTGACATCAAGTAGGTTATTGAAATTGGAGATGGAAAACCAGAGTTTGTCAAAAACTGTTGAAGAGCTTCGGAGTACTATGGGTTCTGTAGAAGGCAATGCTTCTAAAATTCTGAAAATTGAAAAAGAAAATCAAAGACTAAACAAAAAGGTAAATAAAAAAATTTATATTTAATGCAATGTTTTTAAAAATGAAATTAAATAACACTGTGGTAAAACATTTACTTCTCAGTGTTTTAATAGATCCCAAATTGTTCTTCTAACGTATATGAAAATTTTCTAGCATATAGCATACATCATTGTGGAAAGAATGAATCTCAGAGTAACTCAGCTTCAAAAATTATTAACATGCAGCTAATCTTTATTTTACCTCCTTCCTGCTTTTCCAGCACCAGTAGGTGATTTTGAAGCAAATCCTAGACATATTTCATCTATAAATATTTCAATGTGTATTTCTCCAAAATAAATACTTTATGAAAGGAAGATATTATCACACTAAAAAAAAATTCCTTAATAACATTAAACATATGATCAATATGTTTTAGTTTCCCCAGTTCATTATTGGATATTAAAACTGCATTTTATACTTTACTTCATGATAATTCTTTGTTTTGACATGTTTCTACTGTTGTAAAAATTTTAATGATACTTTTTTGTGGTTTTAATTTTTTCTAGGTTGAAATTCTTGAAAATGAAATTATTCAAGAAAAACAAAGTCTTCAGAATTGTCAGAATTTAAGCAAGGATCTAATGAAGGAGAAAGCTCAGCTTGAAAAAACAATAGAAACTCTTAGAGAGAATTCAGAGAGACAGGTTCATAAATTTCTTTTTAAGCAATGTATTCACTTTTAATTTTATTTATAAATGTGATTTTAAGCCTATGTAAGTAATATATTTATGTAACATTAAAAGAAACATTAAGGAAAATATTTATGAAACATTAAAGGAAAGTATTTTTAGATTTAAAGTAACAGTAGCAATTTTACCATACTTTGTATCCCAAAATGTTTTATATTGGCTGTGTGCTTAATAACCATAGTATAAAAATTTCAAGAAGCCGAGCCGCTTTGAGTCAGAACTGACTTTATAGGTAGTGCCCAACAGCACCAGTAATACAATGTTTTCTATGTCACTTATGTGTTCAACTTTCTGTGAGATAGAAGTGCAGATTGTGAAGTAGAGGCTTCGCTGTGGCTCCTCTAACGAGGGGCAGATGTGGTGTTCTCAGAGGCCTCTTCTGGATGCTCATGTCTGTGGTCCCGTTGTGATGGCCATTCTCAGTGTGTGAGAACACTGAATATATTTCATGACTTTCCCTTTTGTCTTTTTTAGAAGTAAAATGGTTTTTATTATATTATCCAATATATATTCTTCATACCACTTTCGTCAGAATCATCTTTCAGGGTGCTGGTAAAAAATGCAGATTTCTCTAAACTTACCAAATAATTCTGGAGTTAACTAAGGATGAATCTATACTTTTACAGACTTCTTGAAAGATTCTTTCACACACCAACTTAAGAGAACCGGTGTATTAGCCCATACTTTAAGTTGGATTCATTCTCAAATTTACTGTAAGATTTTATTTTGTGATTTCCTATTTAGAATTCTTTTTCCAAATCAGTACACACACAATCTTATACACACATAATAGTACAGTAAATATTTACTGGAACACTACTCTGTATAGGCAATACAAAAGTTATTTAAAGAAAGTAAGAGCTTATCTCCTTAAGAAGGGGTGTGTGTGTGTATTTTTTGTGTATTTATTATTTTGTGTATGTGTATTTCACCAAGATCTGTAATTAAATTTGAAGCATGTAACTATAAAAGAATTTTTTTATTAATATTAAATTCTTCTCCCTTAACCATTTCTTTAGATGTGAACTCCCTGAAATGTTAATATCCTAACTATATATCTGCATAGTGGAATCTCAGCAAATACTTAACATAATTTAAAATAAACATTGTAACATTCATTGGGACTTGTTAGTTTTTGTGGAGGTAAAGTGTGTAATATAAAATGTTTATCTTTTAATCAATTAATTTTAATTTTTTTTTAATTAGGTGAAAATATTAGAACAGGAAAATGAACATCTGAACCAAACTGTGGCTTCTCTAAGGCAGCGCTCCCAGATAAGTGCTGAAGCAAGGGTGAAAGACATCGAAAAAGAGAACAAAATTCTCCATGAGTCTATCAAGGAAACAAGTAGCAAGTTAAGCAAGATTGAATTTGAGAAAAGACAAATTAGAAAAGAATTGGAGCATTATAAAGAAAAAGGAGAACGATCAGAAGAACTGGAGAATGAATTAAATCATCTTGAAAAAGAAAATGAATCACTACAGAAAAAGATAACTAATTTAAAGATCACGTGTGAGAAGATTGAGTCCTTAGAACAGGAAAACTCAGAGCTAGAAAGAGAAAATAGAAAATTAAAAAAAACATTGGATAGCTTTAAAAATCTTACTTTTCAGTTAGAATCCCTAGAAAAAGAGAACTCTCAACTTGATGAGGAAAACTTGGAATTGAGAAGGAATGTGGAATCCTTGAAGTGTGCAAGCATGAAGATGGCCCAGCTCCAACTAGAAAATAAAGAATTAGAAAGTGAAAAAGAGCAACTTAAGAAGGGCCTGGAGCTCATGAAAGCATCCTTCAAGAAGACAGAACGCTTAGAAGTTAGCTACCAGGGTTTAGATACAGAAAATCAAAGGCTCCAAAAGGCACTAGAGAACAGCAATAAAAAAATTCAGCAGTTAGAGAGTGAGCTACAAGATTTAGAGATGGAAAATCAGACGTTGCAGAAGAATCTAGAAGAGTTAAAAATATCCAGCAAAAGACTAGAGCAACTCGAAAAAGAAAACAAATCATTGGAGCAGGAGACCTCTCAACTGGAAAAGGATAAGAAACAGCTGGAGAAAGAAAACAAGAGGCTCCGACAGCAAGCCGAGATAAAGGACACCACCCTGGAAGAAAATAATGTGAAAATTCTAAGTTTAGAGAAAGAAAACAAAACCCTGTTCAAGGAAATTGGTGCATATAAAGAATCCTGCATTCGCCTAAAGGAGTTAGAGAAGGAAAATAAGGAGCTTGTGAAAAGAGCAACTATTGATGTAAAAACTTTGGTTACTTTACGTGAGGTAAATATACTTAAGAGTAATATTTTTTTTCTTTTTTTCTAAGAGTAATATTTTCAAGTCACAGTAGTAAAATATTTGATCAAGATTTACTGAATACTGAGTATAAGAAAGCATAGTAGCCACTGTTTATTGAATGTTCATTCTTTTTATAGATGTACATATTATTTTCACGACCAGCTCTTTCTGAACCTTAGAAAATGAAGATGCTGTAGGTAACTTGCTCACGGTTACTCAGCTGATACGTGAAAGAGTTTGACTTTAAGCCCAGATCTTCTAGACTCCAAAGCCCATGACTTTGAGCTCTTTGACCACTTTAAAGATGAGCATTGTACAGTGTCCGAGCCCTCCGGTAGCCTAGTGAATAAGGAAGTGAGCTCCAACCCAGAGACATGCAGTTTGAATCCCCTAGCTGCTCTGCAGCAGAATGCTGGGCTGTTTCCTGTCTCATTCCCAACCTCTAAAAACCTGCTGGAGGATCAGCTAGCTGCAAGTTGGTTCTGACTTCATGGCAGTGAGTTGAGTCTTGACCTATGTATTGAAAATATTGAAAAGGTAGATTGACAAATAGGTGTTATGAAGCATGGCTGGTGCCAGTCAGAAAATAACATTCTTGACTCTTACCATCATCCCAGTGCATGTCAGGAAGCATCCCAGCTGTCTGGCAGAAAGTGGCACTGAGCAGCCTGCATTTCAGCTAACATTCCATGCCAACAAATAAACCAAAGCCACTTGCCTTGGAGTCCGTTCTACTCCCTGGTGATCTCATGTCCATCTCATATGTGTTAAGGACAACTGTGCTTAAAGGACTTTTGTGCCCATGACCTTTTTGTTCTGTTTTGGTGCTTTACGCCTAAACTTCTAAGAGCACGCTCTACTTCTTAGCTCTTTCCTACTAGGAGGACTTGGGGAAATGAGTGTTGTGTCAAGCATATTCATGGAAGGAATACTCATTAGCATTTTAAGTTATTAGTAAAGAGTAAATGGAGGTGTACCGTCGAGTCAGAACTGACCCATAGCTGACCCGCCGGCAGGTTTTCAGAGGCAGTTAATTGCACGGAAGGAGATAACTCATGCTCCTCCCGCAGAGCAGCTGGTGGCCTTGAAGCACATACCCTCAGGATTGCAGTGCAGGTTCTTGCCACTAGGCCACCAGAGGAAGG